AATAATATTGAATCTACATTTCGTTAAAAATGTTGAACAAAAAGCAATGCCGCTTTTCAGTTTTCGTAATTTTTAGATGACAAAATACGTGATAAAATATGTTTATAGGATATAGAAATTTAGAATCACGCCGGTTTGGGGAAGATGTTAACTTAACGCTGCTTTCGCACACTGTGTATGATCATATACTCCCAGGATTCTGATTAAATAGTACAAATATACAGGGAGCGCTTGGAAATTGTTGTAAGGATCGAAGTAATGAGAAATTTTAAATTTATCTAATAATATATTTATTTATTTTACGTTACTTTTCAACAATCCGGTCATTAACGACTTAAGATTTAAACATTATAGATATAATTTACAGAAATATCATTTGTAATTAAGATTACACACTTTTAATTTTATTATATTTGTCCATTTGAATGAGATATTCTTAATATCTCCCTGGAATTTGAATCTTAGTCATAACAAATGATCTAAAAGTCTCCATGATACCATGTGTACTACTTACGTATTATAAAGGAACACATACTTACGACGTCGCGTAGCGTACTTAATACTTGAAAATTAATGGATTTTAAGTGTAATGTATGCTGGTATTATTGGAGCGCCCACTCTCAATTATGAATATGTAACATAGTTGCATAAATTAATTTCCCATTATCGTAACCACGAAATTAATTTATTAATTTGATATGAGATTAATTTTATTTCATGTTTTGTTCAATTCGTATTTGGTGACTGTCATGAATTCCCTCCCTTTTATCTCAAATTAAGAGTAGATAAAAATAGTAATTTATCAATTAAACAAATTAATATAAATACGGTGGGTGAATTGAAAACACGAGAAAATATTTAAAAACTGAGTTATGAAGTTCATTTAAAGCCTTCGTTTCTTTCAGTTGCATAAGATCCGCGACATTAAAAAAAATAGAGAGAAAAATATTGTCCTCGAGAATCCGTTGTTGACAGGAAACTATTTTACGACTGCAAGGTATTCTTAGTTGCATGTACGATACTAAATATATCTTATTAAGAAAACATATTCTAATATTGGTTTTAAATGGCATCTGAACAGTAAATGAGCATTATATGGAATGACGTAACTAGTTCGAATTTGGCTTGAGTTCACACAAGAGGGGGAAATTTGATCCATTTTTGAAATGTTTGTAGTTCATGGGGAAATTGGTTTTGTTTGTATATGTTTTGCTGTATTTTTACTTTTGATTCCGTGAATAACCGTCTTGGAATAATTAAAATTAAATAGTTATCGCTATTGGGGAAAAGTACACCCGTAGAACCTTAATAAGCATTAAATTTTAATACTCAAAAAACTAAAGAGGAAAGATCTTTATATGCTTGAATACTAATCTAAGATCCGGCTTTCTAAAGTAAAAATACAAAAGAATAAGGAAAGATTAGAGTATTGTGAAACGAATGAATTCTCTATTATGTCTTACAATGGTCGTTGACTTAACAGGCCCTAATTTGTGCCCTGATGCAGTTTGTGGCAAACTGTCTGTTACATGTCTGTATGAATGTGCACTTGAATGAGGTCACAGAGGCAGAAATGGATCAAAAGCGAAAGAGTAAAAAGTGTGCAAGATAATCGATACCATTTCCATGGTTATTTTTGCAAGTTTTATTCTTTATAGCCCTACAATAAGTAAATTGAAACAATTATACTAAATGAATTTTAATTTCATAATGCAAGAATTTATTATCAAAATATACTCCTGATAGGAAAGGATTTATTTATAGCTGATTGTGTAAAAATGTCTTCTTACATTCTCCATTCTTACATTCTTCTTACAACTCCTCTTACATTCACTAAATACTGTTTATGGAAATTGCTAATTTTTCTCAGCGATAACTATGCATCTTTTCTGTGTATTTTGCGACTAGCACTGTTTCCTCATTAGACGCAGCAAAATAATGTTGTTGGATTTATCTAACATATTATTTAGATTTTCTTAAAGGATGTAACTTATAACAAAATATTGTAAAGTTTGTTTTTACTTCACTCAGCCTTCACCTTTTTGTGACATGAATAAGATTCAAAGAAGCCGGAAACGCCATTTTGTAACAAGTATTTACAGGGTTTGTGTTCCAAGATTGATTCAGTATTTGTTACTTGAACGTCAGTAAGTCTGCAATAATTTACTCATTATTTTTTTAAAAGGATTATGAAAAGCAATTAATGTGTTCGCTGATTTAATACTCATGCTATTAGACGTAAAGTAGCCAGAAAGTCTCCATTTGTTCTCATGCAACTTAAGCAGTTTAAAGGACGCACGCAAAATGTATATTTTAAGAGCTCCCAAGTTCTCGAATTTGAGGTGTCAGAAAACGAGTTCAATAAAGATCCTCTTATGGAAATTGGTTTGGAGAACATAATTAATAATAAAGAGATTTTGTGAAGGCTTGTGGAAGAGTGAAAAATAATTAGAAGAGGGAGAGGGGAAAGAGAAAGAAAAGGGAAGCATACAAACGTGGAGGAAACACGTTCATTGAAGGGTGTCCTAAACATATTTACAAGATGATGTTGATGAAAGTTCCTCAATTATTATTCTTAAATTGAAGGGAGGTACTCTTATCTCACAATGTGTTGCAGGGATGGAAAAATATTATAATTTATAAATTATGTTTCGACTCATATCACAATTTTGAACACGAGACTCGAAATTGTCTATCCATGCATTTAACTATAGATTCGTGTAGTCCCGAAAAAGGAATGTTCTTATGTGAGGCTCTTGGGATTAGATAATAGTAAGCCACAGTAGGCGAAATTGCGATATTTACCATTCTCGTTTCTGCTACCATTTGGCGAGCCATCGGAGAAGGAGATTAATCCAGTACGGTATCTTTTAATGTAATAAATCCTTTAATAAATAAATGCTTTTTATGTTGAGCACATGACTTAAAGAAATATTTGAACTTTCAATTGACTCTCTTGTAAACGTCCCTTGCGGTGGCCTACCGTTATTACATTAATCCCGGGTGCCACGTATGTAACGAACACGATGAGTGACATAATCGTTTCCAACTTACGTGAGTGAAGCTCACTAGTTCTTTCATCTCCTTCCCTGGACAGGTCACAGTGGGGGCGACTTTTGCATTCCATTACATAATGAATGATAGCGATCATAAGGAGTGGATGATTGATCGATGATAGTAATGGATATGATAATGTTAAGCTAGTTAAGCTATGTGTGGCATAAGCCAAACACTATAAAACACATGACAAAAAACGCATTCCTTACATCAGATCTCGAAGCCGAAAGTTCCATGCATTTGAGTGAAGCTCCAAGCAACTATGCCGAGAAAATCTGGATTTGCGTAGGTACAAGTTCATTATCTTTCAGTTCACTTCTAAAGTGAGACTACAGTCAAAGGATTATTTTTTGTTTCTGAATAATGAAGAAAAAGTGTGTCTTTTATTTCATTCTATTTTTTAACCTTTGCGCTCCGGCAGTTATGGGGTTGTCTCCCTTCGGAGGCCATAGCTAGATTACAGTTTGCTTAATTTTGATGTATGTGACCGCGGTGATATTTCTTTCTCTCTCCGTAGGGCATTGTGTACATAAATGATACACATGACGATGCACATTATTTAAATGAAGCACAAATCAAAATATGATCTGAAACTAATGATTAAAACACACAAGCGAAGCGTACTTTCAGAATACGGAAGTGGATTCTCATCTATCACTTTCAAATACAATTTCACAATATGTAACTCTACTGACTACAAAACAATTTTTCAACTTGAAATAATATCCTAAATTTGGTACAATTATGTTTTTATTACCAATGAATCATTACTGCCTTGTGTTCTCACGTGTTAGACTAAAATGAGGAATAAATAATTCCAAAATTAAAATTTGAAAGCATAAATGACATTTGAAAGTGTGCATCATTTTTATACCACGACCTGCTAAGGACGAAATGGTGTGTATCAAAATACATTCTACCGCGTGTGAGTATTTTCGATTCTTTATAAGATATTCTTAACAGAGAGTTAAGAGCAGTCATAAAATACCATAGCCAAGTTATAAGATTTGACCTTCACCAAATGATTATTTTTTTGATTATTATTGTGGAAATAATTTTTGAACATGCACTCTAATTGTTTCGTAATTATTACATGAATGCATCATGAAATATAAATGATTTTTCTGAATTTGTAATTTTTCAAAGCAATCACACTCTCCCGAGTACATTCTATTGTTTGTGTACCATATACCATTATATAATGTGAACAAACATGCCGTTGACATAAAAACATAATGAGGAACATCGTATGGTGGGCGAGGATAAACTAAGTTTGTTACTGATTTATTTTAAATGTTCTAGTTCATGGTTTTCCAAAGAACAAAGAATAATGTATCGATCAAAATATTTTAATGTAAAACATACTAATCATTATGATCTAACACTTCGTTATTGCCCAGAGGTAGAAATGAGAATATTGTCTCAAAATATGTTACTGTAATACTTTGTTTTGATGAGATTCATTTCAAATTATAAAACACATATAGTTGATTATATGTATTTGCATTCGTTGATGAACGCAAATTGAGACCTCTTTTTCAGCTAAATTACGTAAAAGTCTTACATCCACTGTGTTCAGTTCAAGACATTCACGTACACAGCCGGAAATGTATAAAGAGACTGCTCTTGCCTCTTGTTTCTGGATTTTCACGCTTCAGATCATGCAATAATATGGTGAATACTTAGACAACTTAAGAATATGTTTGAAATACTGTAATGAGGAAGTATTAAAAGTAATTTAAAAATGTGTGAAAAACGTTCGTTTAAAATAGTAATGGTACTACTTATGATAATCTAACATACGTTTCAGCTTTTTTCTTCCCAAATTTTCAAATATAATCCTGATTTTATTAAAATTATTAAAATATATTTAAGAAAGTAAACGACGCATTTATTGTATTAAGCTCTATTGCTTAAAAATCAAATTAGGTATGCGTACTTACTTTGACCTAGTAGTTCAGCCAATCCTTGTTGGATTCCTCTTGGGTCGTTGTCAACTGCCATGGACGAAATATTTTGCTTCTTTTGAAGAAGATCTACCAATATATTCTGCTGATCCTTCTGACTTAGTGTTGCAGCATTAGCTGCAGTGAGACGTCTATCAGGAACCTGATTCTTTACAGACCACGTATTTCTTCCATCTGAAACGCCCGGTTTAGAAGGCACGGCGATATTAATAGGAACTCTTTCGTTGTTTGGCCCAGATATCTCGTAGAATTGATCTTCTTTGGCCTTCGACACTGTGGAAACCCGCACGAATTTTTTATCCTCATCATAGTCTATAAATCGTCCGGATCGATAGTCTTCTTGTTGCAAATCACCACCATATTCAGAATCAGATTCGTGGTCACTTTCTTCAGGAAAAAATCTGGACAAGCGGTCGATGCTCTTGACCCGGCCTTTTTCCAAGACGTTTTCTGTGTCGTTCTTAGGAGCGGGCTGTTCCTCAACTTGAGTCTTTTTGTTTTCATGTGTTTTGAATGGCGGTATCCTCTCATCCCTGTTAGGTTTGTCAGGTTTTCTCCAAACAGGTTCGACGCTGGAATGCTGAACAACGGAGTCTCCCGGCATGAAGCTAGAATATTGACTTCGGTCATCGTATTTGCTGGATTCTATGTATTCTTTTTGTGGGGAAACATCTTTCCAATATGCAAAACGATCGTATGCTTCAACCGGGTAGTACGCTCGTTGATCTTCCCCTGCATAGGATGATATCTTTACCGCAATGCATGTTACAAGCCCATAAGTCAAAACCGCCATGAATTTCAGAAAAATTGCAGAAGCTTGCCTGTCTTCCATATTGAAATTGATGAATAGAACGTATACAAAAAACGAGTAATAAACAATATAGAATTTAATAATAATGTTGATTCCTGTCACGTTTCTTGGTTGTAAAATGTATCAAATACAAGGTAATTGTAGCACTTCTATCATAAAATCCTGAGAAATACCTGAGATGATCGTTCCATTCAACTATTGAATTAAGTATTATTGTGGATTTTTGTTTAATCTACGTAAGGACTACTCTTTTAAAAAAGTTGTTACTGATAACGAAGATATTTTGATATTTCTTTGAGAATTGAAGTCACTAATACTGACCAATCTTTGGTTCAATTTTCGGTCTTACGCATCTACTGCAAATACTGAAGTACACACCTAGAGGCCTCTCTCCAGTACCTGTCCCTCATTCCAGAGGTGAGTAGCAGTAAGAAAGAGAAAGTCGAAACATCACCTTCTTCATGGATGGAGCTTGCGAATCGTGCACAACTCAACGCGGTGGCTTGGCAAGGCCTTCCCCGGCGTTTTTCGGCGCCGGCGCCGGCGTCGCCGTCGTCGCCTCCGCCGCCCGCGAAGGGGGCGCAAGAAGGCTGCTCCGCGCCTCGGGAGGCAGTCGGCGGCGGCCCACTTCGCGCGCCCGTCAAAGCGGCAAGTCTGCCGAGGAGCTGCGGCTGATGCGCCGCGCGATACGGGACGAGATCGCGGTTTTTCGGGCACGGCTCCTTCCCGCTCCGCGAGCAAATCTCCGAAGAAAGTGGCGGATTTTTTAAAGCACGACGCTGCTTGTTTACTTCCTGTCTCTTAATTGATTGACGCGTAGAATCTATTATCTGGAATTGTTTTAACAAACGATCACAATATTGAGTCTCGGCTCTTGTCTACTGAGAAAGGTTTATTTTATTGAATTGTATAATTATATTTTATTACTACAAGATATCGTGTTTAATTTTATGTGCTGAATGAAACAATGTAGTTTTATATGTAATTACGTTATGAATGGAGAAAGTACTCTATAAAATCCAGATGTATCGTAACATTCACATTTATTCTGTAGATTGAAGGGAAAGCTGTTACATAGAAGAGTATAGAAGAGCAGTTGTCTAGTCTCCGTGACACTGAAATATTACCTAACAAGAACTTTACTACCACCTAGATAGTCAGTGGATGATAGGCCATGCATGCAATAAAAAAGATACACGTAACTCCCGAAGCATAACTCGCATCTCGTACTTTCTCCAGGAGCTCACGTATGCCCCTTATTCCTTGCCGAAAAGAACGTGCGTACTGCTCAGCCTTACAAACTTCAACCTACACTTTTACTTTGAACAGCGTCCAACCCTGGGAGAAAGTCTTGGGGGTTTCTATGTTCGCGAGTTCTGCCGTTTGTCCTCCGTAGATGGACTACAAACTTTTACTTGAAGCAGACGTGATGTGCGTACAACGCTTAAGGTGCTTGCATGTACGAGACTACACGTGGCTCCCCAACGAGGGACAGGTTCTTCGAGAGAAATTTTATAATACTTATAAGCGCTGTTCTACATACGATGTGCTAGATACAGTCAACTAACTAATGTGTCTTTGGCCTTCGAACCTAGTAAACAGACATGTCTTTCGATTCCTAGTAACGAGAATCAGGTTGGTTGTTTTTAAGTTTTCTAGAATGCCGAAAAACTTGATCTTATTTCTCAATATAAAAAAACTAAAATGAGTTATTATAATCAACAGAATGCTGCAAAAAGAATTTGAGAAGTATATTGGATATGCTTACGTGCCTTTTTAAATTCCGTGAGCTAACGATTATTCGCAGACAAATAATACAAACAATGAAACTGAGAGTTAAAGGTACACCCTTACGTAGATATTAGAGAAAACTTGAATAAAAATGTTAGTGTTAAATTATAGAAAATAACGTCAGCATAGTACTACAATATCCCAACTTTTGATCTTTTTACATAACAATTATTTCCGCTCTTCTGGCATAAGTAGTTAATAGAGCGACGAGAGAAAAATCACTACGGATTCTTGAAGAAAATACCCTCAACCACAACTTTACAAGTTTTCTTTAAAGATGTGTTGTTTGTTATGTATAACTGAAAACTTTTCAAGGCTGACTACATTGAGAGGACACAAATACACAGTGTCGCCTTGTCCCATTGCTTTTCGGGTCGAGCTGAAACGTCTTGGACCGTGAACATGCAAGAGGCAGCAGGCGCGAGATGTCGTCACGGAAACGCCGAGCTCCGTGACATGTAGTGATGAGGAGATAATGCTGCGCGGAAGATGCCGACGTCTTTCACTAGTGCCGAACACGTGATGACTTGACAATAACTTTACAGTATCTTCACATCAAGGAATCCTCACGAAATGATACTGCCTCTTGTGTGCTCGTTGTTCTCAAGACATCTAGTGAAGAGCTTCACAAGTAGAAAATGTATACACTTGGAATATATTCAGAAGACGAAAGAGAAATGCGAACAAGCTGGAGATGATAATGAATTTCAACGAGTGAATATTCAATGAATAAAACCTCTTACGGTATGTTTTGTGGCGTGATCAAAATGGACCACAACGGAATCCTAAAGGGCAATTATCGTTGAAACATCAGTGTATTAAATCAAGGTTTTCAGAAAACTTACCTAAAGTACAATTACCAAACAATAAAAAAATAGACCTGAAACTTTTATATATCACTCGGAATTATTTTGTCTAAACATTCAGGAGGTAAACTAATGAAGAGATCTGAAATCTTGAAACCTCAAATCATTGAGTTCACACTGATGAAACTGTCATTCAGAACATCTAGTTTTAGCTCGCACTGACACTTCACGTTGAAACTTCTATCTTCTGTGATGTGACAGTCTTACCGTCAACCAAAGAGCCAAACACCTCTTTCAGGACGAAGGAGTCTGCGTGGAATATCCAAACGTTGAGCCGACACTGAATCCCGCGACCTTACCTGCCCGGGAACGCCCCCGAACTGCGTACGTTTCAAAACTGCCGCCGTCTCGCGCGGAGACTTCGACGCCCGAACAAGCACGTAAACACAGCGCCGCACGTGAAGGCGGCACGCGAACGCCGGCGATCGCGCGGCGTGGGAGGCCTGGGCGCGGGCGAGGGCGAGGGCGAGGGCGCGGGCGAGGGCGTGGGCGGTTGTGCCGCGCCGGCGGCCGGGCCGGGCGGCGGGGCACTCCGGGCGCGGCGCCTGTGCGGTCTCGGAGACGCGGGCGGCGCGCCTCGGAGAAACTGAGTGGATCGAGCACACCGACGGAGAGCGCGCGGGAGACTTTCTTCCTTGGAACCGGGTCGACGCGTCACGCCCCGCGCTCACGCCCCCCTCTGCCGCCGCCCCCGACGCTTCCTGCGGCCCTGCAGCCGCCGCCGGCACCTGCACCGCTGTCGCCTCCGACACCGAATCCCTCCCCTCCCCGCGAGTGAATTTTCTTGGCATTCAGGCAAGAAAGTGCGAGGACTGTTCAAAAATTGAGTTGACCGGTGGCGAATAAATTGTGAGTACTCAATTATGGTATTCATAGAGGTTACAAAACGGCATTCGATATTTTTAACGTTGGTGGTACGTGTCAATGTACAAAAATATTGTATCAAAAATTAAAATATTTCCAAATAGGTCACGGTTCATAGCTTCTCCAGCTGCTCAATTAATTTAATTTCTGTTTCCTTGAAGGTTTCCTTGAGGGTCTATCTGTTTCGCTTTCGAGGGAATCAGACCCCTTTAGAATCAAACCATTGATCTCCAAATCTCTCTCAATCGGCATTAAAGGATCAAAATCAAGGCAAAGCTAAGGCTATTGTATGGATTTTCATCGGTAATTTATCTCCCGTGGAACACAAAAATGTGTCTCTAGGACAGAAACCACCACAACAATGTTGACGCTTGTTGTTCATGATTAAGTGTTCACATATTCAATTAAATTAAATTTTGGGACGACATATTCAAATAAAATGTTTCTTCTCATTATGTATACCATCACTTCCCAAAGCTGTCTTTTTTAAAATTGTACTTGAATGATGCTATTGATAATATGTGTTAATTTCGATCAGGGCTTGTGTGAAATGTCAGTGCACGTAATGTGCAATGGGAGGAAGGCAGCGAGAAAAGAGGAATTATGATTCTTTGATATTAAAATATTACTGAACTGTATTAAATGGACTATTTGACTCGTGAAATTAACACCAACTATACATCTGATACGCACTAATAAAAAAAGGTGTAACCCAAAATTTATCGTTTTTTCTTGCGCTTTTCTCATGGCCAATCATATGTTGCGATACATCGGTCGTAGGAAGCGCTGTCGTGCGCAATCGAAGTGCGAACCCAATATAATAAATAATTGACGCATTCTGAAACTTATTTCGAGGTAATTGTATTCGTATTCTTATTAATTCAATAGTCGTAGTTGTACATTGGAAATTTCCGGATAAATTCTCTTCACTACGCAAATCGGGAATTCATGGGAAATTTCCAATGTACGCGTGGTATTGCCTGTGATACCATATTAGATTAACAAGCTTTTAAGGGTGAACCAAATCTTCATGTAAAGCAAGAACTATAGATATTGTTTTACTGGTAAACGTATATTATATTCATGATCTGACATAGAAATTCTTATTTCATAAGCAATATGGAGGATACATGAAGGACCATTGAAACATATTTCCCAATTAAGTGGCTTAAGTTCACGTGTTTGATACTTTCGGAATAATACATAATTATATTTATCTTGATTCAGGTTATTTTATTCGCAACTTTTAGTACTCTTTAATTGTCTATGTGGACATTCTGATGCTGAATTGAAAAAAAATTTCAACGCCTTTATAATTATTATGTTTAATATTGATTTTGTAACTGTAGCTATAAATACATTACAACTTTTTAAGACTGTCATATTTTGTAATGTGTTCACTCAGGAGTAATACGTCTCCAGAAAATTGCAGACAATGGCCTTTTATGCCTTCCAACCTTCAGTGTTCTCATAATAAAAATACGTGCTGACATACCTTCG